ACAATATTTTTAAAGATGCTTTAAACATATATACTTTATCATACGTAGTAGAGTCATGCTACAGGTATATCAATAGTACAGTTCCAGCAGGAATGGGTCGGCTCGACCGGGGAAGGACCACGCTCTCACAGAATACCAGTGTAAAAGAGAAGCTTAACGCTGCTGTGTTTCGTTTGGTGAGTGTAGAGAACCGGAGACCCTTTTGACTGGAAACTATATATATAAAATTCCATATTAGTTCTCACGGGTGACATTGCATCTGCATTGTGATTCGCAATCGACGATAAATGTCTATGGGCCACAGCAACCACTTACCATCAGGTGGACTGTGTGCTCGTTTGTAACACTTATTCTTTAAAAAGTATATTTTTTTATACAGGCAGATTTCCTCTAGATATTTTCCTTCAGCGTTTGTACGACGTAAATCAGAACATAAAATATTTAATTATATATTAATTATATGTAATTAAATTATCATTTCAACTAGTGCTGGCAGGAATCGAACTCGAGTTGTTCGCCTACTATGAAATCCGCACATGAGCAACCACACCTGTGGGGAAGATAACAACTTTTACATATAATTAATAGAATCAGGCGTTACTTTGCGGAAATCCATTATATAAAAGCTTTAGAAAAAATTTACTTCGCAAATATCCGCGTTATAAAATAAAATGATGTGTCTTACTCCCTCCTGGGAGGGCGAGAGGTGCTCTTCATACTAGGTAAAACACATCATTTTATTTTATAACGCGGATATTTGCGAAGTAAATTTTTTCTAAAACTTCTACAAATGCCAACCTGACCTGGCGCATTTGCACCTAGCTAACTAAGGTTTCATTGACGACATTGACGTTCGGAATGTAGATAGGAGATATCCATTACAAAATTCCCTTAACCCACTTGTACACGCTAATTGAGAAACGCTACTACTCAATTAATGAATATTTGAGCGCAGATCAGTGGGCATATTATAAAGACGTTGCATGTGTCATTTCTTGACATTCGATTTGACTAAATATTGTAAACTAGCGAACCGCGCCCGCTTCGCACGGCTGGTTTCTGCATCTCGTCGACAGCGCCATCTACCGGGTCCAATTCCGAGAACCTACTCAAACACAAACAAAAAATTTCATCACAATTGGTCCAGACGTATTTGAGTTTAAGCGAGACTAACGTACAGCAATTGATTTTTATATCAGCATATATCAGCATCATCCATTGACTTCCTGCACGTTTTACCAGGTCGTCACTCCATCTAGCCGGGATCGCCCTACACTTTGCCTACTGGTAGAGGCTGCCACTCGAGAACCTTTTATCTCCATCGGTTGTCGGTTCTTCGAGCTATATGGTCGGCCCAATGCCACTTCAGCTTATTAAACCGTTGGGCTATGTCGGCCACTCTGGTTCTACTGCGGATATCCTCATTTCTAAGTTTATCACGCAGAGAAACTCCGAGCATAGCCGGACAGGGCTCGCTGAGCGACCTTGAGCGTCCTCATACGGCTATATATGATATGAATTTTATATACATATAGAGAAGATATCATGACTAATTGACATAATATAATTTACTTACTTCATTGTATATTAAATGAAAATACAATTTATGTGAAGCATTCTAACATAATTATAATATAAATACTTAATGAAATAATGTAATTGTAGTAGTGTATAATATGTAATCTACACTACTGTAATAGTAGATTTTATTAATTCTACCAATAATATTTGTGTATTTAAGGGTTGAAGGCGAGCTATGGATGTTGTATTTGGCACGATGATTCTTTTTTAGATTCTTAAAAATATTGTTACTGGTTTTGTAAGCCTAAAAACATATTCACATTCAGATTTTCTAAAACATATATGGTGGAATATATTGGTGTACTTAGGCACTCATACAGTAAACTTCTGTCTCAAACTGTCTCACATTCTAGGCGGGATTAAATCACAAACACATGATAAAGTGACGAGACGGCTCCGTGGCGCAGTGGCTTAGCAATCAGTTGCAGCGCTGGGGGCCGTGGGTTCGAATCCCGCACGGAACAAGTATTGGTATGGTCAACAAATAATTGTTCCGGGTCTGGATGTTTGTACTTGTACAATTTATGTTTGTAAACAGCCTCCACGGTACAGGAGAAAATCCTAGAGTGGGGGTAACGTTTTAAAAAAAAGAATCATTATGGAGATGCAAACATAGACATTAGACATCCTACATACAAAGACTGTTGCGAGACAACTTGATTTATCGATAGTAGATTAAGGTTATCAGGCTACCTAGTGTGGGTCGTCCTACATCCCGTACGAGGCATTTTCACTGCCATTCGAGAACCTGTTCTCTTCATTGTGGCTGTCGATCCTACTAGCTACATAATCTTTTACTTCAAGTTAGCAGTTCTTGTATATTATTGTATGCACGTTTATGTACTTAATTAGTTCGTAGTACGTAGGTCGTTTGTACGGTAGGGTCGTTTCCGAGGAACGACGATTTGTATGAATTTTTTTATTAAGGCAATGTTTTCTTTTTAAGATTATCTATGATTTGATAGGTTTCATCCCTCAGAAATTAATATTTTCCCTCTTAATATTCCCATGAGAACGGACTCACAGTCCGTTGAGACAGAAAACCGACGCTACCGGAGAGAAATCATGTGCTTTTCGAGGCACTGGGGTGAAACATTTCTAATTTCCTGACTCCGAGCTGCTACTGAAAATTTCCCGATTAATTTGAGATATGGGACTCAAACCCCGGAACACATGATTAGCAACCGGGTGCGATCACTAGACCAACGACAGTAACAATGCAAGAACATAACACAGTTGTGGAGTGATTCCTATCGACAAACGATTTCCACCAGTTACATAATAGCACTGCTGTCACTGGGTGATGTTGATGATGATGAATGACTTGAAGATTTGCAGATATCCTTTATCTATGAAATTAAAATAATCGAGTCGCATTAGTATCATTAGACAGTTGTTTCTTGAGGCTGCAGGTATATTATTATATTCGTATATTCTATAGTATTAATTAACCTCAACTATGCTTGTCACCTAATTGATGTTTGCTATTAAGACACGTGATAAGTTGTTCTCACAAAATCGATTACACTATGCACCAGTTTTATTTTAAAGTCATACACGGAAGTTAATCGCGTAACGGTGATGATTTTATACATGGTAGAGCCATGCTGCAGCTATATTAATGGTATAGTTGTAGCATGAATGGGTCGGCTCGACCGGGGAAGGACCACGCACTCACAGAATACCAGCGTAAAATAGCAGCTTAACGCTGCTGTGTTTCGTATAGTGAGTGTAGAGAACCGGAGACCCTTTTTACAGGAAATGAGGCATTCCGTCTTAGTCCTTACGGGTGATAACGCATCTGCATTTTGATTTATTATGGAGAATAGATGTAGATGTCTGTGGGCTGCAGCAACCACTTACAATAGGTGGACTGTGTGGTCGGATGTCACCCTTATCCTATAAAAAAAATACGAAACACGTCTTTCGTATTTATATTTTAAATATTTTAATGATAAAAGAGCTATTCGAGTAAATTACTCAACTCTCCTTAAACTGGTTTAACCCGTTTGGTGTCGATCGTGCTCCGATGAGTTATTGTGTATTCCATCACAGTTTACAAAAGTCAAAAAGGCAAACGGGTTGGCAACCGCAGTTTTTTATAAATTTGAGTTGTTGTTAGGTAGATCCTGCTAGACATATCCTGCTTCAGTTTTCCTCTATCAGCTCTTGCGACACCCAAGAGATGATATGGGGTATAAGATGATCATGTAGTGGCAGTGTAAGAATATCACACCGCCACTATATGGTCTATTGTGTATTAAATTAAATGCATAAAATAAAATATTTCATAATCAACAACATCATTACAGCCTCTCACAAGTTCACTGCTGAACATAGGCCTCACCCAAGGAATGTCACAAAGCACGGTCCTGAGCCAACTGCTTCCATCGACTTCCCACATGAGCCGGCCATATAGCTCAAAGAACGGACAACCGATGGGGAAGAAACGTTCTCGAGTGGCGGCCTCGTACCGGTAGGCGAAGTGTACGGCGTCCCCCCACTAGTTGAAGTGATGACCTTGTAAGACATGCAGAAAGTCGATGGATGCAGTGATTTGTGGCATTCCTTGGGGGAGGCCTATGTACAGCAGTGGACTTGTGAAGGACTGTAATGATGTTGATGATGATGATAGCTATTAAAATTATTTTATATGATATACTGTCTTGGAGTTATGGAGTGACGACATGGTAACACATGCAGAAAATAAAATAATTAATGTCTTATGTTTGTAGATAATAGATACTCTGATACTGTCTACTCATGCCATGGAAATAGGCAATGACACTTTTCACAAGCTGTGAAAATTATTTTTAGTGTTATTTTTCTGCCGACTTCCAAAAAGGAGCCGGTACTCAATTCGACTGTATGTTTTTTTTTTTTCGTTTTTTTTTTTATGTGTGTTACCTCAGAACTTTTTTCTGGGTGAACCGATTTCGATGATTCTTTTTTTATTTGAAAGCTGGTACTTCTCGTGTGGTCCCATATGAATTTGATCAAGGTCAGACCAATAGTTTTTAAGTTATTCTTAAATAACTTATATTGAAGTCGGCTGTACAAAATTTTTAATTTTAAATTATTATGAAGAGCAGTTATTATTAACAAATATTAGTAGTAAATTTTAATTAATAAAAATCTACTTAAACTCCAAAAGGAATTAAGGTAAAACGGGATTTAGTAAATTCAAGTTATATAATGTAATAGTTTTTTTTTTAAATAGAATAAGGTTAACAAACGAGCGCGAAGACGCTGTTTAAAGCGATATATAATGTTTTATTTAAACTTTTTGTTACAGGTTAATCAATATAAAAAAGAAAAGAGAATATTAAGTACATAAAAGAAGACAAATTTCATAATAACTTACTTTAAGTTTAAAGATGATCTCAAAGTGAAAGTTAAAGTTTCAAGAGCTAGAAGCGATGGAAGCGGCGGGCGCACCTTCGGCGCTAGGGCGAGCGCACCTTTCGCATCTACCGCAGAGACCGCCAGTAAATTTGAGTTTTCAAGATCTTACTTACACCGTTACAAATGGCAAAGGTGAGTTCTTACTGTCTATTTAAAATCATCATCATCATCATTACAGCCTTTCATAAGTCCATTGCTGAACATAGGCCTCCCCCAAGGAATGCCACAAAGCACGGTCCTGAGCTACCTGCATCCTTACCTATTTAAAATAATGAACGCATATTTTCAATTTCAATGGTTAATGGACATGAGACACTCTCCATTTAGGAAGGATTTGCCTTAACTATTACGCTAGCAGGTGAATTATCAAATGCAGATCCAGACTTCAACATCTTTCACGCAGTTGCCAAACAACAGCGTTAGCTTAAAATGGTTATGCCACCGAAATGAAACAAACTACGCCTCTGGCGATTTTATGTTCAACTAGCTATTTCCCGCGACTTCCTTCGCGTGGAACAACTAGTTGAATATGATTGGATTTTATGGACTTTAATTTTTTGCGCAGAAACCAATTCTTTTTCTATAATAAAAGTAGCATAAGTTAAGCCTTATAACATCAGCTCGGTCCAGTCAAAATCGGTCCAGCCATTTCGAAGATTAGCTGGAACAAAACAGACAAACAGACAAACAAACAAAAAAAATCAAAAAATAATATTTTGTTGTAAGTACCGTATATAGTTTCTGTTATTTTGACATTACAAACAGACACTACAATTTTATTTATTTGTATAGATATAAGTAACAATATTACATTTTTAGCCGACTGACAAAAAAGAAGGAGGTTAATAATTCGACTGTATGTGTTTTTTTGTTATAAAGGTTATAATACTTCAGTGGTGGTCCCATATAAATTTAGAGAAAACATTCCACCCCTAAAGTTGTTAAAATAGGGGATGAAGTTTTAATGGAACTATTTAGACGACGGCGTTGAGATTGTGATGGATTATCAGAATCTCAAACAATTCAAGGGGGCAAACAAATTAACTATTTATAAAAAGTAAAAATCGACTTCAACCAACTAAAAGAAATAAAAATAATATCACATTCTGCAGTCGCGGCTATAATAATTCTTCTATACAATATGCCTTAGCACCGAGCACCGAATTTAGAAAGTGAAATTATTTTTATTAGCAGTTGTTTGAAGTAGGCTTTTACTTTCTTTAAAGTTAAATTTTACAGTTTACTAGCTGATCAGGCAGACGTTGTTCTGCCATTTCCGAACGACCATTTGCTTTTCCAAAAAAAAAAAATTGAGGGTCACTTATCGGGATAAAAACTATCCTATCTCTGAAGTTGGACCAAACTGCACACAGTGTACAAAATTTCATTGAAATCAGTTCAGTAGTTTATGAGTTCATCGCGGATAAACAATGTAACACGTAATCTTTATATATAAAGATAAATGAGGTTAATTGTGCTAAACTGGTTTCAAAGTCGTTAGCAAATATTATGTCTCAGCGACATCTTTTTCTTTATGGTCATTGACTGTGTATTATGCGTTCTTTATGAATGATTTTTTAATGTATTTTTTAAGAATCTTATTGAAAAAGCGTACACATTGTCCTGCAAATTAGTTGCGTTGAAAGCTTTTTCTGTCTATCCTATAGTAATTTTTCAATAACCATAAGATGAAATAGTAATGGATTCTTTCACGCCGCAACCACACGGCCAATTTTATAACGTCACTTTCTTGTTTGTCTGTTTGTCTATCATTCCGGGTGGAATTTAGTGATTGATTTTAAACTAACTTCACGATGAGGTGGATATTTGAAATTTTGAATACAGCTCAAATTCGGATGACAATGCAAAATACGATAAAAAAATGGTAATTTTTTTAAAATTTGCTTTTAAAAATTTCGCTTGTCTTGCTATCGCTATTCATTTGAAAGCGTTCGACATATTAGTGATATTTTATAGAGATTTTCGATATTTTATACTTTAAGATTTATACCTACAACGGAGTGCAAGGGGTAGTGTGAGAACTTTTTTCTCTAAACGTAAACTTCATAAACATCTGTACTGATCGATAAACGTGACGGGTAGTCTAATGATGGCGGAAAATCCATCCAAGATTGCCTATTCTCACTCAACAGATTGTAACTGAAAAGCAGCAATATCAGCAGATAGGGTAACGAAGCGATGTTGCCGTAGGAATATTTAAAAAAGCCGACTTTTCAATATATTATATATTAATCAGGAAGCTACATCATTATGGTGTTAAAAACAAAGAACTCAAAATTATTACATAATATTTAAATAAAAAAAAACAAACACAAACAGTTGTGATTAATGGGATTATGGGAATAGTTCTTCCGGTTCAGTAGTATTTATGGGTGTTTCGTAAGTTTAATTATTCGTCCCTTCCTGTTCTTAGTTTATATTAATGACTTATCTTACTTGGTAAGGATTAACCGTGAAAACATATTTTTATTTGCTGATGACACTTCATTGATTTTCCGACTTAAAATGCTATAATTAAAATATAATAAAGCGAATAATGCTATATAAAAGTAGTGCACTGGTATTATTGTATGGTATGGGAATTAAAATTGTTTAGGCCCAAACATGGGCATTTGAAACTCCATCCAATCGCGTTTGACTAAGCGAATCGCCCGATGGTGTGAGGCGAGCGACAGTAGCTTGATAGCAGCGGCGCGGTTGATTAACTGCAGGGGTTTCGCGCGACCAGTTTTGGTTGTGTGGTCTAGATTTTGATTATTTGTGCGCGTTTAATTCGCTATTGAATTTGGGGTTTCGTGGAGACCGCCTCGAGTAACATTGTCTGAGTTGTACGTTCGTGACAAGAGGCTTGTATTGACTTTGACTGATTAAAGTAATTTCGTTTGAAAGTAATTACGTCAATTGTATAGTGATTGCATGTGGAAGTGCACTTTGCAATATTTAACTTGCTTGTGTGACGTGAAACCTAGTAGACATACACTCGACGTGCGCGCAATCTAGAATTTGATGCTCGCATTCCATTTCGAGGGCGTGGCCCGGTTATTTGTTTTTGGAAGTTAATGTTTAATTGTACCGTCGCGTTAAGTGACTTTTGTGTGTTGACTATGTAGTTAGTTTGTGTGTCAGCTAGGCGGATTTTGAGTCTTAATGCGGGCGTAGTATTTAATATCGTACGAAGGAATTTAGTTTGTTGTTTGTAACGCGGAACTTTTTGACCGTGTCGTGTTCGGTTCTAGAAATAATTTTTTGCTGAGTGAAAACGGAAGTGAACTTTTATCCACCGTTCATTAGTAGTGCCGTGTGTTACGTTTTTGATTACGATTAACGGGGATTTAGTTGAGTTTGAAATTAGTTAAATGTACAATAAAGTTGATGGATTGAAATAGTGTACAACAAAGTTGATAGACTGAAATAGTGAGATGAAGAAAGAAGTTGTCAATTGGTGACGTCTGCTGGAGTGAAATCACATTGTGGGGTAGCATCGGACCAGGCGGCTGCCCAATCACCTCAGTTGGGTCAGGTCACATATATAAACACTACTACACACCACTTACATGCACCGCCTGACCAAGCCTTGGGGCAATCTTAGCTTCAGAACCAGGTACGTACTATTTGTTTACCTAGTCTTATATCTATTGTGTAGAATGATAAGTCTCCATAGGCCGTTGGGCCCCGTCCCTTGTTGCCCGTCGATGGTATTACTCATGGGCCCTAGACCCGTCAACCTATGTTGGGGCAGCTAGGGACGTGTACAAAAATATAATAAGTAAATTAAACGCGATAAAATCCGTAAATATAGTTTTATTCGAAGGTTTTTCCCTAACCAGAGGTAAAAGAAAAACATTACTAAATAAAAATTACATGTAATCCAACTAATATATAAAAAATAATGTTTGTTTGTTGGTGTATTATGCGTTGCCATACCGTTCATCAGATTGCGGTAAAACTTTGTAAACTTATTGCTTGCACTTGCGCAAAGGTTATAGGCATAATAGAATTAACTTACAGTAGTGGCACACGTATCGTACCGCCAAATTTATTTTAAAGTTATATATTATTCAATTTCAATAAATATATTATCATTCTTAACCCTTAAATTGGCAGACAAAAAAATTCTTAAATATATGAATTTCTTGAATAGAACTGGAATTCAGATGGATAAATGAGTACTAAAAATATTTAGATAAATCTGTATTTATAACTTCTAAGAAAACGTGTATGACCTGGTATACATTGACAACTGCGTGAAAACATAACTAAACATTTTGATGTATCTTGCGGCATACTTTGTCAATATACGGGAGTGACAAATAAATTAAAATAAACTATAAATTAAGAAAAAATCGTATTTTATTTAAGGAATAATAAAAATATTATCAATTTTTGGTATGAAAATCAAGTTGGCAATTTCGCGGGTTCTTGCCAGTAACAAAACACAACCGTACCTGACACTTGATACAAATAACTTAGGTAAATTTTGAGAAAAGACGGCATTGACCCTGATATCCATGAAATGGCCTACATTTTCATATTATCTCACACCCTGGATCGGTGCAACTTGCGTAAGTTTTTGTTTATAGGAGGGGGGGGGGGCAAACGAGCATGCGGCTCACCTGATTGTAAGTGACTACCGCCTCCCATGAACAACTGCAACACCAGGGGAATCGCAGATGCGTTGCCGGCCTTTTAAAAAGGAGTAGGCTCTTTTATTTTATTGAAGGTCCCTAAGTCGTATCGGTTAGGAAAAATCGCTGGTGGTAATCGATTCCACAAGGAAGTTGTGCGAGGAAGAAAACTTCTTCTAAACCGCACAGTGGTGGACCGCCAATCATCCAGATGGTATGGATGGTATCGCGAGTTTTGTCGCGATGTGCGATGGTGAAATTGGGCGGTTGGAATTAGTCCGAACAATTTCCTCAGAGCACTCCCCGTGACAGAAGCGATAAAATACGCAAAGAGATGCAACATCTCTACGCAGTGCCAATGAGTCAAGCCGATCGGAAAGAACTCGGTCGTCGACGATTCGAACCGATCTGCGCTGGATGCGGTCAAGTGGAAGGAGCTGGCATTGGGGAGCTCCTGCCCAGAGATGAGAACAGTATTCCATGTGA